TTTGTACTCAATGTTGTTAGGGTTTCAACTTGAAGGGGTTTTCTGATAATTCCTAAAGGTGAGGGGGATTTCTGACATTTTGAAAGTTTGTTTTTTTAGCTAAATAAATATGTAAACAAGTGAAATCGTAAGAATCTTTTAGTGGTTGATAGGAGATTTAAATTATGTTAGAGCAACTCACATGTCAATTGTATGACAGATCACTCAAACCCATGATATCGGCATGTTATTGTTGGTAGACATAGTGATGATCAAACTAACATGCCTTGCTGGATCATCTTTATTAAATTTTGTTGTTTTTTGAGACTAACATGACTTTGATTTTTACCTAAAATATTTCATGACTCTTCATTTTATTAATGTGTTAGATCTTATGATATTATTATCTAATTAGACTGACTGAAACTTCACATTGAAAGAGTCCAAAGACCACAATTAGAATTGAAGCCTTCTTGGTCTGACCTACTAGGATTTGGTGAATGTTATCAAGAAAAAGGAGAGAAATTGAAAAAGAAACTAAGTATTAGAAATTTGGGAAACGAAAGAAGTTTTGGTAATACCCAAGAGAATTCAGCTAAGGATCTGTTTGTTTGCCTTAAAAAAAGTGGGAAATCGAAGAAATGGAAAACTATTTCTAAAAAGAATTATTTTGGGAGTGTTTGGTTTGCTAAAAAAAGAAGGAAATCAAAGAAATGGAGATGAGTTAAGATGAGTTGTCATCTTATTATAGGATGATGTGAGTGATTTTTTAAGAAAACTTGTTTTGATGTTGTTTGGTTGGCGAAAAAAACAAGGAAATGAATTATAAGAAACATATTTCTTGTGATATGTTGTTTTCTTTTGTTTGGTTCATTCTTAAAAATAAGAAAATAGATGAGATGAGATGAGTTGTCATTATATTATTGGATGATGTGACCCACACTTAAGGAAATTGTTTTCCTAACTTTTTGGGAGGAAATGGGCAGAAATGAAATGTTAATGAGATGAGATGAGTTGTCACCATCTTATTGCATGATGTGAGTGATTTGAAATAATAAGATGAGATGAGTTGAGTGATGTTGTGGATGAAAATGATATTTTATGTAATGTGGTGGATGAGTTGTTGGATGAAAATAATATTTTATTAGATGTGGTGGATGAGTTGTTGGATGAAAATAATTTTTTATTAGATGTGGTGGATGAGTTGTTGGATGAAAATAATTTTTTATTAGATGTGGTGGAAGAGTTGTTGGATAAAAATAATATTTTATTAGATGTTGTGGGTGAGTTTTAGGGATGGAAATGGATGAAATGTTGGATAAAAATAATATTTTATTAGATGTTGTGGGTGAGTTTTAGGGATGGAAATGGATGAAATTGTACTTTTTGAGTTTTTTTTATTTTATTAGATGTTGTGGGTGAGTTTTAGGGATGGAAATGGATGAAATTGTACTTTTTGAGTTTTTTTTGTTTTCATTTCTATTTCTTGGGTTTTTAGGAAATAACCAAACAGGCCCTAAGTTGATAAACTATCTATGAGTAGTATGCCAATGTTTTAGGTTTGACACTCTTAGAAAGCACCCGCTGAAAATTAATTTTCCTAGAATATTCGAGGCCATGCGTTGGGGGATGTCCCTTAGCCACACTCGGGAGTTTGATACTCATGGTCCAAAGGGTCGTGAGGAAGTTCCCTTGTCAAATTAATAATAATAATACATTTACATAAAATTTAGAAAACTCAAAACCCAAACCTACTTCTGCCAAAACAAGCGATTTTGTTGTAAAAAAATCGATTGTCAGGCCTGTGGGCTCCGAACGATGGCTTCGTTCAAAATTGGGCTAGAGGTCCACAGTATGCTACAAGGCTACGATTAAAAATTCGTAATTACTCATCGTGATTAATACGCACCAGAAACATAAATGGCTTGTCAATTAAGTGGAGAAATTTCTACTTTAGCCTGAATCCTTGTAATGTTATTTTTTTTATCCCCCCTCATCAAACTTGGTTGAATACCAGACTGCAACCAACATTGTCTTGTATATGCCATTCGGCTTCTCAAAATATTGGGCTTAACTAAATTAGTATAAACGATGTGGGCCAACGTCGTTGTTCACTCTGGGACTTAATAAAAAGCCCATGGGTTTGTCAAGGAACTTTTGTACCTTTTTTTACACGTTATTTCGATCATTATTTATTAACGTTTCCTAGAATGAAAAATGTATATGAGCACGACACGGATGCAATGCTAATATGTGAGTGTGTTATGTTTCAAACACAGAGCTCTGATGATCAGAATCAACTGAAAGTAATTAATTCTGTAGTCGAGCAATATTAGCTCATTTTATATTGTATTTCCTTTCTACAGTTATACTTCCTATTATGTTATATAACATGCAATTACTTATGTCATTTTACTTATAATGCTATTGTTTAACAATTAATCGTCTAGGTAGATTTTTTTACTTTTATTTTTCTCTCAAAGAAACTGATCCTAACGTATAGGTTTCCGAAAGAAAGATCCCTGATTTCTCTAAAGAGCAAAAACAACCAATTTCACCAACATTTCTCCAATTTTACTTACTACTTTAAACTTAACTATATGGTATTGTGAGAACATTAAGCGGACTAGATGTGATCAACAAAATCAATTAACAAGCAAAAGTCAAGAATTATTCAATAAGAACCCCAACATTTGCATTCCTTCAAAACTGCGCATTCACAAAACTCACTATTACAATTTTTTCTCACGCTAATCCATCCATCATTCTCCGACGTGCAACACCAGTTACACCACCGATCCGGCCTTCCCTTAGCCGCCAAAAGGCCAATTCTCTCTTTCAGCCCAATAGGCCCAACCAAATCACAAGTCGAGGAAGAGGAATAAGCAAAGGAAGTAGAAGCAGAGCCTTCTCCTCTCAAGCCCTCTGTTTCAAACTCATCAAAGCAACCCCCCCTTACGCTAATCCACGACGACGACCGCGACCAATTTGGGCTCTCCTCCGTTGCCAAAATCTTAACCCTATCCCTGGGCCCAATAGGCCCAATCAAGGAAGCATAAGACGTAGAGGCAGAGAATCCACCTCTCAGCGGAGGATCATCGCAATAATTCTCGTCGTCACATCTCAACAACCCAAACACGCTCCTCGGGGAGTCCAGACCTCCCGCCAAATTCTCCACAAACGGATGCTCGAGCAGCATCCCGGCCGTCCATCTCGTCGCCGGATCCCGATCCAAGCACTTCATCAAGAAATCCTTCCCTTCCCCCGACATCTCCGACGGAATCTCCGGCAACTCCCCCCCGAACCCAATCCTCCTCATCAGGCTCCACACATTATCGTCCTTCCACAGTTTGCTCCAAGCGGGCCTGCCCATTATCACCTCGGACACCACGCAGCCCAAGGCCCATATATCAATCGGAGCCTCGTACTCGTCTCTCCTTATAGATTCCGGTGCCATATACAGAGGGGTCCCTAAGACAGAGTGCTCCGCTTTCTCTCCTCTCCTCTTCGCCAACCCGAAGTCTGCGATTTTGACGCCTCCGTCGCCGGAGACCAAAATGTTCTCAGGTTTTATGTCGCAGTGAACGTATCCCTTGCCGTGGATGAACCTCAGCCCCTCGAGGATCGATCTCGCGTGTCTCCTCGCGGCGAATTCTGACAGGGGAAGCAGTTTATCGAGGGACCCACGTGGGATGTACTCGAGCAGGAGGCTACAGAGTTCCCCGCCATCGACGTGGAAGGTGCTGACGCGGCCGGAGCAGGAGACTATCTGATTGCAGCCTTTTAGCTCGTTCAATACGGATTCTTCGCGTTGCAAGAGAGAAGATTTGGAGGCTGGAACTGATTTCGCTGCGACGACTGCCGACGGTGGCGCCTGGGACCCACTCCATTTTGGATTGAAAACTGAGGGTTGAAGAAAAACAGAGGGGGGGTTAATTACTCGAGGGATATAAATAAGCTGCGATACTTTGGGGGGTTTTGGGATTTGGAGGAATTTACGAATATGCCACTCATTTGATGTTGGCTTATGAGGAGGCACGGTACTAGCTGGCTTGATACGAGCAGAGTATTGTTTCGATGGAACTGTATTTAATTGGGTATTTATAGAATCAATAAAATGTATGTTTTTGCAACTGAAACTTTGATTATTTATGTTTATTCATAAGGTCATTATTAATTTTCTAGAAGTATGTTTCGTGTAATTACCTAGCGATCTAACACTAGGTTTTAGCTCTTAGGGTGTGTACGTATTTATTGACAATTCATAAAGGAACTTTGATGATATTCCTAATGCTAGAGAAATATTGATCTATCTATGGTGCATAACTGACATGCAGGCCTATCGCAAAAATAATATTAATTCTTTAAGTGAATTGCTAACTACTACTGTTTTCTCTATATAAAGAAAATCTAATCACTGAGTTTTACTATTTTGTGAAACAATAAATGTTGAAGTGCGAGTTAATGTAGGAAAAAATAATATAAAAAGAATTTAGATGTTACTTTAGAAAACAGAAGTTATATTAATGAACTTCAAGATCATAGAAATGATTCGCTGTACATAAGTTGTGAATAAGAGCGGCATTGATCTTGACCCAAAAAAAAAGAGGATAGTGAGCTGTGGATGGACACCAACTTTCTTATTTATTTTGAAAAAGATAAAATTATGAAAAGAGGATCAATAACTTGACATTAAAAGAAATTAAAAGAGAGGAAATGAGCTTGAAAATTTATTCTGATATAAAGAAATCTTTTGCATATAGAATGATCTAGTATATTATCGTGCCTAACGGAATATAGATACATACTAACATGCTTTCTAATTGTAAAAAAAATAGTTAAAGAATTACCAATGGTGATCGTTCTTGTAGAGTTACCACTTGTTACGATCAAAGGGCGATCACACTAATTGTAACTACTGAATCCTAAACACAAATTTGAGGGGAGAGACGAAAGCACCTTTCCTTTTGTTTTAATCTCAGCATCTAATTTTGTTTTGTAAGCATGTTTATATAGGTTACGGATACAAATCCTACTCAAACTAGAGTTTCAAATTCAATAGAGATGCGAAAAAGGGAATCCGACTACTAAATTAAAATACTAGATATAGTACCAACTCGGATGGAATTGCATCTAGTGGCACTTTTGCAATTAACGATCAACTTTGAGGTCAATTCCAATATCACGTAACACGGCAAACGCTAGCGTGTAGCAGAAGAAAAAAAAATATCGGAAATCCCACATACGAGTAGAGAAGAAAAAGGCCACGTTTGTTGCGTGGAAATATTTTCTCAAGATCCTAATAATTGTTTACTTGTTTATTTTGTTAAAGACTGAAAGAGACTGTGCGAGGGAAGGTAAGAGCCCAACGTGCAAGAATAGAAGCGCGTCCGCACGTGGTTCTTATTTAACTCGTCATCTGCTCAACAAACTCTGGCCTTTTTGTAGGTACAACTCCAAGCAACGGAAATGATGCCCCCCCAAAAAAGTAGGGGTGGCAAACGGGTCGGGTCGGGTCGGGTCGGGTCGGGTCATAGTTAACCCGACCCGTATAAGTGTGACCCGACCCGACCCATTTAATAAATGGGTCAACATGACCCGACCCGTTTATTAAACGGGTTACCCGACCCGACCCATATAACCCAAATGACCCGTTTAAGAACTTATGGTGTTTTTTCACCTCCAAAATACAAATCGTAACATAACATCAACGCCTCTGAGTTTGGTTGTTTTGTTGAGCCCATCAGTGTTGCTATCTATTCTGTTTAGGACTAATTCCATTGATATCTGATGGCATGGCCAATATCTTACCATCTTAAATATATATCATGAATATAATAAAATGTTATGATTTAAAATCGATCATGCATGTAAGAAAAATTGATAAACACATAAACTTAACCACACAATAGTTGACAGGAAAAGGATGAAAAAGCAACGCTTTGTACACTTAATCGTTTTTCAACACAAAAAAATGCTTCATCATTTACATTATGTATCACCAGCACGCATATGTAAACTTAACCAATGCTCTTCTCCCTACTAAAATGCAATTTCCTCCACAGCCTTCAATTTGGCACACCATACAAGAACCCATCACAATATTCACTATAATTCAAAACTCTCTACAAGCTAAAAAAGAAAGAACACAGACTATATGATGAATCTAAACTTTTCTCATTATTGCAGAGAAACCTTGTTTCATAAAGGAGCTGCACAAGTAGTTCTAACTGATTACACCGGCTCTTCCCCGCGACTGATTACACCGGCTACAATGCACGACCCTCCTCGCTCTTCCCTGCGACATCTGCAGGGATGTAATACATCAAAATGAAGCAGACAAAGAAAATAAATGCATTACTATTACAAATCAAGTGTTAGTTTATCTGCAATTTTTTTGAGCTGACATGCAAATTGGATGAAACAAGTGCTGTACTTTTCTTCATACACAATAAAAATCCAATTACTATTCCTAAGTAGCTATTTCTTAACCAAAACTGAAAATATTTTCATTTCGATCCTAACATTTGCTGCAGCAGCTCTATTTAACTCTTATGTACATGATATACATAAACTAGTGTTCGCTATTCAAAAGATTGTAAGGAGTGAGTTTTAGAGAGAATATGAGAGTTGATTATGTATGTTAGGTTGAGAGACTAAGAGACGAGAGTTGAGTGGTTCCTATTATAGTTCTATCTAATACATAGTGAATTTCTCTTATTATTGCCCCATGGATCTAGGTTGAAGTTGGTTGACCGAACCACGTAAATCTTGGTGTTCTTTCTTCTTGATTGTGGTTGTTTTATATATTGTTGATTGTGGGTTAGCTTCCAAATTGCATAAATCGTAGTAGGCGGGGAGACAAATTCCCTAACACTGTGCATATGAATAGACAAATGCGAACATAATCACACAACAATATTGTTCAGGAACCAAAGGTTCATTTTGACCCGAGGATCCGAGCTAAGAAAAAGAGAAGACAAAAGCTGCTAATTTTCTTAACCGTTTCATTCTTTAAGTATCTTTTCATGTCAGAGACTTCTATTCAGAATGAATTCAAACATTATACACCATAATAAGATAACTTCACATTCTCACCGTTTTGGTATATCTTCAGGTATCTGGTTCCCTGGCTGTGAGAAGAAATGTTTGGCATTTTGAGCCACCTCTGCTTCCAGTATTGCTTCCAGCACGATATCTGATCCTTTAGGCTTACCTGGGCATTACATCAAAATCCAAGATTGCTTTAAGATGAGCATATGCAAGTAGTAAAAGTAGGGAGTGAAATAGAAAACAATAAATATATAAGACTAATATTAATTTCTGACACTTTTCTAGGACACTCTGTCGATGTCGTAATTTATGATTATTAAATACTTACGTCATACTAATTGTGTATTATTAACTATTAAGATATATATTTATCATCCATATATGTTAAGACCAAATTAATAGAAACAAATTGAAACAGAGATTCACACATAGCAAAGTAAATATGCTTCAGTATAATAGAGGAGATAGATTTGGTTGTTATATAGAAAGATGTATTTAGACCAATTCCCTGATCGATCGGACCTAGGTAAACATAATATCAAGTTTTGAAATATCAGCAAATACCAATAAATCAGCTGTACTTATCAGGAAATTAAGCACGTTGAACAGAACTGCCCAAAACAATTGATACTGTCAATATTAGCTAAAAAAGGACTAACAAATATTGCATTGGCTAATAACACCTAACATGAGTACGATTACATTTTACCATAGTTAATTTTATAATATCATATTAGGAAAACTGAAAAGAAATCAATCACAAGAAAACTTAAAATTAAACAAACTTATTTCATATGCTGATACTTCAACGCAAAAGTGATGAAACTGTCAAACTACTGCCACCAATACAAATAAGTGAGATTTTTAAAGGAGGGTTGATACGAAAAACTCCCTTCTCCATTGGCAAGTTTAACAGTAGCAGCACAACAGGCTTATTTGATGCAGGACCAACTGATTGATGAACATCTACAAATCTCTTAAGAAATGTGGTAGGCTTAGATCAAAGTTACTGATAGATTTGGCAATGAAAACCTTCTAAACTCGAATACATGTAACTAGAAAGTGATGATGCATCCTTTTGTAGACTACATGAGATCAAAGTTACTGATAGAACATAAATCAAAATTTTCTTCTTGGCGTACATCACACAATCTCAAGAGAGGTTTTTTTAGGCTGTTCTAAAACAAGAATGCCATACTATCATTAAGAAAGAGAGGTAAAAAAAATTTTAAAACAACAATATTCCATTGCTAACCTAGCAAGGGAATTCAAGCACTAATTACCATTATTATTTATGCTAATATTAAATGGGATAAGATAGAACAAGCCCACTGAGTAGAGAAATCAAAGGAAAGAAGTTCGGCAAATGTAAAATGCTCATGGTATGATAATTGCTAGGGAACAGATAAGTCAGAAATCTCAATCGTTCATGCACATTCTTAAGTTAATTCCAATCTCTAGAGTGCAAGAAGCAAGTGAAAATCTCCAAAAATCAAACCATAAACCAATAGTCAAAATTGAACAAGAATGCAACAGAAGCTCTGATACTCCATGCTCGTGAACTGTTTTAGGTACATAGTTTAACCTAGAATTCCTCAAAATTCCTCAAAAATCAACAAAATTACAACCACAAAATCAAGCTAAGATCTTAGTCTCCTAATTTTAACCTAGAATTTAGAAATCGGGGCTGAAAATTACCTATCTAGGGTTTCTGATCTGATCCTTGAGCACTTGAGAGAAAGTCGAAGGTGGCGCTTGCGCTCGAGGGGAGAGGAGATCACAGGCCCCGAGGAGAGAGGAGATCCAGGATGAAGCTCGAGATTCAGGCAAGAGGAGATCAAAGGTGGGGCTCGAGCTTGAGGAGAGAGATCGGAGATGAGCTCGAGATCGGAGATGAGCTCGAGGGTAGAGATCGGAGGTGATGAGTTTTTTCCGGAGACGAAGGGACCAAGGGCTTCTTCGTTTATGAGAGACGAAGCGGGTCGGTGTTATACGGGTTGTTATATGGGTTATACGGGTTGATAAATGGGTCAGGCGGGTCAACTTAATTTACCCATTTAATAAACGGGTCAGTTCGGGTTGACCCGTTTATGACCCGACCCATATAACTTGACCCATACCCAATATAAACGGGTCGGGTCGGGTCGGGTTGATGGGTCGGGTCATAAATTGCCACCCCTACAAAAAAGAACCCAAAAATAATAATAATAATAATAATAAAAGATGAGTAACTTGTGGAGCGAATATATGAGTTCGCAAGGAAATAAATGAGCGCGAGGATCTCACTTTATTAGGTAATTTCGATGGAATTTGTTGGCAAGTCACTGTTGCTGGTTGCTCCGTTTGGATGTAGGAAGTCACCTCACAACAACTATAAAAGAGTTGAACGATATTACTAAAGTAGAGCATATGCTCATTGTGCCTTTCGCTTATGAATTGTTTTGGCTATTTAGGTACATCATATATTCTCATAGTTTGATTTTTGGTCCGTATTTAATTCATGGCAAAATCAAGTGGGGTTCAGAAAATCTTGAGCTACTTGTATTGCACAAATAAATTAACATTTTTTTTTAAATTTAGGACATGTCTATATAATTTAGATCTAACTGTGTGACTTTTATGTGGTGTAAATTACGGACACCCAATCAAAACATGTACTTGACTGATTTATTTTGACCCTGATTTATCTTAAACCCAAATTAAAACTTACTGAATCCTACGTACTAAAATTGGGTTTAAACATAAATTTAGAGATGATTTTGAAATTAAGTGGGTGGATTAACATATAAATCAGGAAAATCTTTGGATTTATATGTTGGATATAGGTGCCCTGCAGGCAATAATTGTACATTGTAACATGACCTATATGAATATAACATCCTTGTTTAAAATAATAGTATGGTATTTTTGTCAGATTTATCTGGTATTTTAATACAGATAAAGTCCTTAGAATGATACCAAACTATCAAACATTTCAGATATGATCGTAATGAAGAGATCTGATTTATCGCTGACGTATATTCTAAAATGTTCCTAATCAATGAAGTGTTGAAAATGTGACATCATCACTTTGGGAAGACTAGTGTATACTCTATTTCGCCTTTGGTAGGATGATGATCCATCTCTTGGATAATTGATGTGAGACATCAAGATATAGTACAAGTGACTCATTAGTGAATGAGTTGACTTAACGACTCACTGAGAACATCTAGTTGGTAATTATACTTAACTGTCAAATAGAAGTTCTCAGGTGATATAGTACTAAGTAGTCTCATGACCTGAGGCATGAGTGCAATATCTTACATGTCAGTATAGGTGTACTTAGACTTTTACCTAACCACAGTTCTTATCGAGTTATGCATAACGGTTCTTGTTGGGTACATCTCGAGGCATAAGTAGATATTGAGATGCTAATATGGGATTCGTCTCTCCCAGTATAGGGGGTTAATATCATAAGATTATTTGATATAACTATAACATGGAAATCCTTGGCCGAAGTAAATAAGATAAACCGAGTGTCAGTTTGATCTTATAGGTTATGAGTTTAATATCAACAAACACTAATTGAGCTATTAGGGTTTGACAGTTTTTCATACCCTAGGCTCAATAGTTTGACATGATTTGACGAAGAGACCGGACTGTACGGCATTATCACTGAGTGATCCTGATAAAATTGTGTAAGTATCTTGCAGACATTTATCACAACTAATACCCGGGTAGTCTTCATGTGTAGCTAGAACCTCTGTTGTACTTGTGGATATGATTAACTGCCGAGTCTTATAGTTAGGCCCTAGAGTCACACCAAGCGCGTACTTAAATCCTATGAAATATAAATTTATAGAGTAATGTGTATGATTGATACGCATATATGATTTTCACCGGATACAAATAAACGATTATATGTATCGGTAAAATTAGAATGCTATGTGCTTAAGAAATAAATTTTAGTATTTTTCCCATAAAGTTAACTTTTAGTCAACTGGTTGACTTTTTGGTCAACAGTTGACTTTTGGTTAACTCATTGACTTTTTGGTCATATGATGACTTATTAGTTAATGATTGGAAAATTACGAAATACCGTATTGATGTGGTATTTTCATTTATGAAATACGAACTTTATTATACCTTGATTAATGAGTCATGAGATGAGTCATTAAGATGGTATGGTTTGGGAACATAATTTTAGCACATAGTTTTGATTCTTCATGATTCATTACATGACTCATGAGATGAGTCATTACATGACTCATGAAAGAATCATTGTTTTGATGACTCGTGGTGTGACTCATAGGATGAGTCATTCATGTCATGACATATTCTTCCAGAATCATTGTTTTGATGACTCGTGGTGTGACTCATAGGATGAGTCATTCATGTCATGACATATTCTTCCTCTATAAATATGAGCTCTCTTTCTTCTTTCATGGTTAATGGAAAAATGAAATAAAGGGTTTATTCATAGTTGCTTTCCATAAAAGAAAAGAAGAGAGATCTACCTCTTACAAAACTCTAGTAATCTTTGAGTAAGAGAATGTAGTAGGGTTTTAAAGTACCCCGGGGTGGATATCTTGCCTTGTGTCTCAAGAAGACTCCGATTTTATCAAGCTCACTTGAAGACTTGGAGATCCACTACGAGGAGATTTACTACTACAAGGAGCAAGAGTTAGGGGTTGTTCGATCTTCCATCGAATCACGTTTCAAAAGTATGACTTTATAACCATTGTATGCTCTTTTAATATAGGGATCATGTTAGATTTAATTAGGATGGTCCTATTTTGTATTTCATGCTCTCTACATGCTTAGTAATTTTATACATACTATCTTCCGTTGCGTATTTTGCATGTTTTTAGCATGAATTTCCAACATGGTATCAGAGACATGGTTCCATCTAATTGAATCTTTACATGCATATCTAACTCATAGAGGACTTTGTACTTGCTTCTAGTTACTAGTTTAATTAAAAGATGTTTTAAAGAAACTAGTTAATTAATACAAGTTGTTTTGTAATTAGTTACACTAGTTGTTGATTCAAAAATGTTATTTTTGGTTCATAAGTTTTTAAGAGTAAAAACACTTGTATAAATTACAAAATACTTATTTACAACTAGTGTAGTTGTATGTTAGAAGTATGATAGTCCTATTTAAGTTAGGATAATCCCTATGTTATCTAGTTTTCTAATTTGTTGCATAACTAGATAGATGCATTTTTCTTAAATTTGATTAAGTTATATATTTTATATCATCTTGCGTGGATGTTATGTTCATGGATGGTAGTGGACAACGATTCTCTTGTATTTATTGTATTGATGTAATATAGCTACAAATGTAATATTATTTTTGACCTCTTCCCTCCCCGAGCATAGGCTACGCCTACGGGTTTAGGCACTTGCTCACCGATCATGGGCTACGCCTACGGGTATAGGCCCTTGTTCGGGTGTGAGGGGGGGGTATGGTTGTTTAGTTTAGTTATTTTATTTATGAATTTTATTTTATATTTAATGCAATATTATTACTCATCCTACGAGATGGTTTTTCCATTATAAATGAGGCTTGCACGTCCTATGTATATGTGATTGTAATAATACAGGATTTGTAAGGAAGATAGCACTGCAAGGAGTTGCAAATTACTTGTGGAAAATATAATTAGTGTAGTTGTATTTGTAGGATCTGAAATAGATACACTAGAACACTAGAAGAGGGGTGAATAGTGTTCTTTTAAAATATATGCAAAGTAGATTATAAATTACAAAGAAAAATGGCAATCTCAGAAATTCACAATCACAAACACAAAGTTTGTGATATTATATTTTTAGATATTATATTTTTAGATTTAAAAGAAGATTTGTGCATTTTTCCTTGTTGACATGCATCACAAAAATTATTTTTAAATGACATCTTAGGCGAACCATTTACTGAATCATTTTTAGAAATCTTAAAAAATAAAGTAAAAAGTAAAAACTACCCTATAACTACACCCAAAACCGAAACCCCATCTTCCCCACTTCAGTTTCACCGATTCCAGGTTAGGGCATTTTTATCTCTTTCAAAATTTCATTAATATCCTTCAAATACTTTAGAAATTCTTACAGGACGATTTGTGAAGTTCGATGATTTCATCCCATGGAACTTTAGTTCTTATTTTGAAAATGTGGGCTTGCTTGAGTTATTTTCTGCTGAAAATAAGAAACCATCATACCCATTTCTTGTGCAACTGTTCTATACCAATATAGAACGTGTGGGTACAATTGGTGGTTCTGAAAAAATTAAAACCCTTGTTAAAGGAATGGAGATTGAATTAACTACTAAAACAATTGGTAAAATATTCAACATTCCTTATCAAGGAGTTTCTCTTAGCTCTGTTAGGATGAATGATTCAGACTTGCTATCCAATCACATATTTCTTCCAGGACATGGAAAACCTTTGAACAATTCAAACAAACTTCGTCCATTTCCTAGGTTCATTGCTCGTATCCTAGCCTATAACTTATTTCCAAAAACTGGAAGTTTTCATTTCATTTCCCTAGAATTAGCAAAAGCTATATATGCTATTATGGGAAATATTCAAGTTAATTGGGCTGAGGTTTATTTTGATAATTTTCTGACCATTCCTAGAGGATTTCTTCCTTATGGTGCATTCCTGACTAAGATCTTTGATAAATTCCATGTTGATCTCAAATCTGAAAAATCTGTTGTCCGTTCAATTGAATTTTTTGATTCAAATGCCCTAACTAGGATGAAATTGACAAATTTTGAAATCCAAGATCACAATCCTCAAAATGAACCTGTTCAAAATGAACCTGAACTTCAACAAGAAGATATTCCACAAACCTCAACTCAAGCTGGAGCCTCTTCAAGTCAACCTCCACCATTTCCTACTGAACCTTCATGTTTTTCAGACGTGCAATACAATACTTTGAGTGCACGTATCCTAGAACTGGAAACTGGTCAAAGAGCTATATATGCACAGAACAGATATATCA